TCACACTGTGTTTGTTATATATATACATACCCATATATAAATAACTTCTTTTTAAAATTCTGCTGCTTCTTTAAAGGCGAGGTGCTAAATGCCTCAGAACTACAAAGTTAAGTTTCTTAAAGTGTCTAAACCCTAGTGCAGGTAATTTAATCTATGTTTTCTTTGTTGCTACCTAAAGTTAAACTTCTCAGTGGTAGAGCAATATCAGTGCAGTACTAAATACTTTGGCTGGTTAGATTAGATCATTTATGAAAGCATAAGTAACTAATCGGTACCACCACGTTTCATGGCTGCCTGCAGCATTTCTGGTAGTAAACAGAGGAAAAGTTAATTGGGTATGGTGAACTGGTTTTAATTTTCAGCCTTTGAAAATTAAATGCTCATAGAGAAATTGTGAACAGACTTTTTGCCTCTCTCTTGGGATGAAAACTGTGACCTGAAGTGTTGCTAGATAGTAAGTAATCTGTAAATGGCACTCATAACTGCAAATTCTAATTACAATAGTTTCAGCAGAGATCAGAACAGATTCTTCTGGTACCATGTTACAGTATTTTGAAAACACTGGGTTCTCTGGCTGATCCATTTTCTGTATCACTCCCACCTGATAGAGCAAATACATACTTAATGCTAAATCAAATCAAAAAAGGGTAAATGTTTTTTTGTTAGCTTTTGGGACTAGTGTTTTACTTTATTATTCATTAACCAAGGGAAATATAGGTATGCTAATTAGCTGCACATGGTGATGCAAAAATAAATAAATAAATAAATAAAATAAATACAATGAAAGCTTTCTGAAATCCAAAATTTAAGAAATGTTTGCCGAGTCAAATTAAGAAAGACACATTGGGAATTGTCATGTATTTCTGTAGTCTTCAGATAAAATGTTTATTAAATCACAAACAATACGAGTATGCTAAACCAGTATTTCCACAAAAGTGGATGAAATTCCTTGATCAGTGTTAAAGTTTTCTTGCAATACTTTTTGCAAAGGCTAAATAGAATTTTCTTCCATGAATTTATTTTGAATAAGTAACTTTATAAATATCTTATAAAAAATACTTGAATCTTAAGAATATAAGAAACTTTCTTTAACTTAGAAACAGGAACAATTTATATCTCTGGTTAAAAAGAATTAACTTTTACTATTACTGGATAGGACTGGGTGTCATATTAATGAAATAGAATTAAGTATGAAAATCTGTACTGAAATATTGTGGTTAAGCATAGTGCAGGTTGATTGTGTATAAGTGGTCCTGTGTTACTATGGCAGGATAATACGCATTAAATTGCTCAGTAATAGTAAGCAGTAGTAAATGTTAGTCCTTATGTATTTAATTTGGTATTTTTTTTCCTACAAAAAAAGTCTGTTACTGCTTCTGAAAAAAAAAAAAACAGTTAAGTTTGCATAACTGTTGTATTCATAGCTTCTCATACATGTAATTTCTTTCCACTTCTTTACCAGATTCAGGATTTGAAGAAGTACCAGGGATCAAGAAAAGGAGACTGATGTATGAAAGAGTCCCTGGAAGAAGTGATGGACAAACACGTCTTAAATTCTTTTGAATGGAGTGGAGAATTGTGTACTACAACTGTTTTTTCAAATTTGTAAACTCTGAAGAGAAATAGATTAAATTCATTTTGTTGTTGTCGTTGTCGTTTTGAGAGAGAAATTAGGGTTTAGGAATCTTTACTAATTAAGGATTTTTTTTCTATGTTTTTTTTAAGTCTTACTAGACAAACTAGCTCCCTGAATCTGGAGAATTACTGCTTCTCTGCTTGTTTATATAAATCATATAAAGGTACTTTAACGTTATTTATACAAAAATTAAGAGTGAAAACAAACAGATACTGAAGTGCATAGAATTTTCAAGGGACTTATGTTTGTTTCCTGAACATGTAGACTTCCACGCTTACAGCTGGACTAGACTTGCCAGAATCTCAAGACTGCTCCTGAGTTTTAAAGCTTCCTTGCACATAAAGCAGGGACTCTATATTTGTCCTTTGGACTCATGTTCCACTTTTTTCCTTCTGACAGCTCCTCTGGAGCCATGTGATGCTACAAGTTCCTTCGTAGCCTGAGAACAGCTTTAGTCATAACCAAGCTTCAAGAAATGACACACTTGTTTTATGGACTGAACATGAAAGATATGTTGAAATTTATGATTCTCATAATTTGATTCAGAGAACAACTCTGTGACTCTAGTGCCTGGTGGAGGCCATTTGTTGGCCTTTTCAGTCTGCTACAGCACATCTGTGAGTAGGGAGAAGAAAATCCTGCGTCAGAAATTGTAGGCTACAACTAGAAGGGGTAAGAGATTCCAAAAAGTCATCTAATTTGCAAGCTGCAGAAGAGAGAGGGTAAAAAGAGCACCCAGCCCCTCACTTTCCATCAAAAGATTTGACAACAAAACTGGAAATATGTGTGGGAGCAGTGAAAGTATCTCTGTGCTGCTGCAGGAATGCATACATGGTTTGTGGAGGAATGTCTGCCAGCTCCAGAATGTCACTGTCTGTTCAGGAGCTCACAGTTCTGATGATTCAGTTCTCAAATTCACTTTTTTTTTAATGTTTTAATTCAGTAAAAGTATATATATATATATATATATATATATATATATATAAAAAGTTGTGGTTTAGGCTTGCAGTAAAATACTTCCTTGACACAGAGTCTTCATTGAGTGCATACTCACTATTTGAGTAAGTATAGCCAGATCTTAGGGGACCAGCTTTGCCTTACCAGAGAAAAGGGGGGGTGCCGGTTGTTAACTGAGAACTAAAAGCTATGATGACAGCAGTAGGAGCTGTTCTCGTTCAGAGTAATATCCTCAAATTATTTGCATCCAAACTGTTTACGAGGTCTTAAAAAACATCTTTCATGTGTAGCATAAAGACCTTTTTGTGGAATTGCAAACATGCCTGTGTTTCCCTCTTTGCCCACAATAAGAGAAAAGTTTAAATAAAAGTTGCAGTTTGCTTACTATTTCTGGCCCATTTTTGTGGTCCCTTGACCTAACCATTTTCTGTCTCTTTCCATCATGGATTTGGCTCTGTTTTTCAGAACTGTCTCCCCGTTTGCCAGGCCCAGGAATCTGTCCTTTTAAGAGTGCAGCTCTGCAAAAATCTCAGTCACGGATGACCACAGTGGAGAAAATTATAGCGGCCACTCCCTAGCTATGTATTTATGTCCTCCGTTCACACAGACAGAGGCTGACACCAGAACTTCAATGTGAACGTCCATTACAGGCTTGCTCAGATAATCTGTGCATCACTATAAAAACAAAGGTAAACCGTGTGCCGCCTACATTTGATTAGTAAGAAAATTCGAGTGCTATCTGTGATCAGTTTCCTTTAGGTAGCAAAGTGTTACTGTACACTTAGGTGCTACCAATATTGTGGAAAATAAGAAAAAGGGCTTGCAATGGCCACTTGGCTTGTACTCTTATTTGTTTATGACTCTCAGTCATTCACAGATTATGTACACAGAGACAGATCTGTCAGAGGTAAGGTTCCCACCCGCCAGTCCAATCTGTTTCATGTAGAGGAAAATTAGTACTGTACTATACAAATGCTCTTTTTTTTTTTTCCTAAAACATGTATAACTGACTGCTCCACATGAATAGCCTATTAGGAGAACCGAATCCTGGAAGGCAAGACCATGGTGACAAACCAGATTGACTGACAGGGGAACATTACAGAATTTTTGTTATTGCATCTTTTTGCCTGAGAACGAGTGATTTCCTAATCACCAGTGGCAGATGAGCTCATTGCTGGGCTCAAATCCTGAATGGTTTAGTAACCTGGCAGGTGTCACCTCTAGAGGGAGAAGAGCCTTGCTGATGGGGCTGTGAGGGATGAGGGTGAGAAACCATGGCCTTAAGGCGTGTGTTAGGCCCTGCGTAGTACAGATCCATGCGTTCACTTGATTTGTTTTATTGTGGGCATCCTGTGGGTCCTCTTTCAGCTGTGAGGCAGCCATGAAGGCCTTCAGGCAGCATGTGGAGAGCCAAGACCATCTTGGCTGGTATTAGAGGATGCTGCTGTTGTTCCCCCTGCTGCAGATGACGCCTGTTACAGCCAGGGAAGACAAACACAACGCCTGGCCTTGTCTGAGCTGCGGTGCAGACCTCTGTATGCCTGCAGCTGGAGACAAGGCCCTCTTGACCGAGGAGCTCAGAGAGGCCCTGTTCTGCTGCCCACAGCAGCAGGCAGCTGCCCGGGCTTCTCTGAGCTTCCTTGGCTGCCTCAAAAACACACTTGGCATCCACCTGTACGGTGCTGCTCCTCTGTCACAGGCTGGCACCGACACAAATGTTGGTGCTGGGGGCAGGTTTTATTGCAGGGGGTAAAAGAAACCAGAGGGGTTTCTTCCGTCCCACTCATCTGAGTGCTTTGACCCCAGGCTGAGCCTCTGGCCACCTCTCTGCAAATGAGACCAGCGATATTTCCTCCAGCTTTCCGCAGTACGTGCCTGTGTCAAGTGCTAAAAGAAACACTGCCGGCCACGGCCAAATAGCCTGCAATGAAAAGGAAGCCAGAGTGAAGAAAGGCACTTGAGGAAGAACATTTTGCTTCTGCTCTTGGAGGCACAATTCATATTGGCGGCATTATTACTCTCATTTCAGCGTGTCCCTGCCAGACAGCAAGTGTGAGAACTTTCTATCACAGACTGAACTACCAGGAGAGCATTTGTTGTCCCATTTCAGTTAGTATTAATGAAAATTAAATGCTCAGACAACTTAAAGCCCTGTTCATCTTCTTCCTTACAGCTTCAACATTTGCAAGTACGCCTGATAATGTAGCTACTATTTACCACAAAAATGATAAATAGGTATAAATTCAACTTTTCTAATAACCAGGCACATTTCCTAAAACTCCAGCAGTGACTTTCTCCTCCCCAGAACACTAACAGCCCGCAGCCTCCCCTCCCACTGCAAAATCCAAATATCCTCAAAGTTCACTCATGAGTTTGGCCTTCCTTGCAATTAAACAATGAGATCAAAGCCAGTAGGGAAAGGAATTTTATTTCCAAACTTCTAGAAGATTAATACAAACAATGGAAAGTAAACAAAATGAAAAACCTAGTAAAAAAAATTAGTTGTCCTTGTAAAAGTGCTCTATAAAAACCGAAGGCAAATGACCAAGCGTATTTTACTTGCTGAACTTGGTAATTTTGTGTACTTCAAAATGTGAAAATTAGGCATGCAACTGTCTTTGGATACTGTGCTTTTAGGGTCAGTCTGGCTACATTTTAAACATGTCAATGAGATTCCAGCAAGGCAGTATGTTTATGAGTACAAGTTATGAGAAGTACCAAACACATCAGGACTTTTACGAGACCCACAGCTTAGAAACGGAGCCTGCAGCACATACTGTGTTAAGCAGATCCTAAGAGGTGTCATTTATGGATTTAGATCCACTTGAAAGAAAACAGCTGATTTCAGGGCTCGGTAAGTAAAAATTGCAGCTGAGAGCATGTCTTTAACACTGACGGCATTTACTCTTATGTTTTAACAATTCGTTTCTTTTTTTTTGATGTTTTATTTTGGAAAATACAAATAGCTTTTATCATCACTCCAGCATAAGAACCTACCAAGGTAATAATAAGAAATTTGGTAAAAATTCACGTTTTTTAAAATGTAAACTTCTCAAGTAATATTTGTACAGTTAGTATAGTGTAGTAACAACGGTGACTTTTATGAAAAGAGTGCTAGTTACATTAAAAAACCGTAAAAACATTAGCAAAAGGTAGTGAGGTACGGGTGCACAAGAACAAACAGGTAAATATCTAAGAGATTGCTTCAACCACACAAAAGTAAGGGCACGGAGATACTTTTCTTGAGAAGGAAAGGCAGTTATTCATGTCATGCTTGAAGGCAGGCTCTCCGATGACCTTCCCTATAAAAGGAAAAAGGGGTTATTAAATGCTGTCTTCCTAATCTGAGGCATCTCTCTTAGAAATTTAAAACATGAAAGCTTCTTTGCACTGGGAAAACGAGAATAACCACTTTCCTTCGTTGGGCATTGGCATCCTTGAATATTATAAAATTTATGTATTGGCTTTTTCAATTTTGTTCTCATTTTTAGGATCGTAATGTAACTAAATTCCTTCCTAGACTTTTGATCAATTAGCAGAAAATGATAAAATTATATGTTAGGCTCTGCTATCCATTTCTAAAACCAGCATAAATCAAACCATCAAAGTCAAACTTGGAAAAGTGTCTCATATCCTGTCTGGATCATGCAATCAAAACTGAACCCTAGAAGTCACCCCCCCCAAAAAAAAAAACAAATGTAGGAAGGCTGCTTTAACAACAGAAGAACACGTGCAACATTCACCATCAACTTTATCTTGTTTTTAGGAAGAATAAAGGGCAGCACCTAAATTAAGAATATCTGCTTGTGCTTCTTCCTTCTCCAGTTTTTCTGCAAGAATAGTTCAGGCTCAGTTGCTCCCTTTCTTCAGGTTCACTTCTGCTTTATCAAAGCTATGTAGCAACAATCAAAACCGTGCTATTAATGAGGCCAAAAGCAACTGCGCACTCGGGAACCCTTGCAGCGGGAAGGGAAACATCCTACAAGTGCTTTGCATTCTAGTTCAAATTCTGATGTTAGAGAAAACATTCAATTTTGCTTCGATAGCATTCTTAAAGATATAACAGAATCCAGTGCTTTTTCTCTCCAGCAGCTTTTTCAGCTCTTTAGGAGGACCTGATTTTAAAGAAGAGCACCCCTTTCTGAATATCCTACTTCCACACCTGCTTGCCAAGCAGAAGTACAGTTTTCCAAACATGATCCTGCCCAAAGCCACTACCACGGACGACATTTCTCCCTCCTGTGACCACCACATCCCCGTGACAGACAGGCGGGACACGAGAGAGAGCTGCAGAGCTGGAAACCAGAGGCTGCCGGTGCTGGAAGGTCACCCTCAGGTTGTTGTGCAGGTACAAGCAATGCAGAGCACCAGGGCAGACAGAGTGCCAGGAGTACCTTATCCTTTAGACCTGGGCTGAAAATGTTGTCTCAGATTGTCTCAGCTCCTCTCTGCCTCCAGCAGCTTTGGTGCTGCATCAGCGACAGCAACAGAAAAAGCCTAAGGACAGACACCACCAAAGGAAGCGCGGCGCGATGCAGGAGACCAAATGCATTTTTAATAAGGCTCTTGCCTAGGCTATCAGCTTGTCATCGCGGCGCACGCAAGGAGCAGCACAGCTTTGTCTTACTTCTCTAAGCTGGGTGCGGGATTGTTTTTCTGTCTGGCTATACATTGAATGCACAGGGGCAGCTTCTATTATTTTGGATGCTGCTAATGACCCTAGAGGTGCACAAATGAAAAAAAAATACAATAAAATAAAATAAAATTTCTGGAACTTGACACTGAAACAACTCCCACTGTCGCTGCCAGTGCATGACTTTCCAGCCAGGGCCGTGGTGGCACAGCGCTGCTGTTACCTGGTCTCAGAGCAGGGCGCAGGACCGGGGCTCTCGGAAGGGATTGCTCCCCGCCGGCACCCCCACCAGCAAGGCGTCCTTGCAGGCGTTCTGCATGCAGTACTGCTGGAGCTCGGCAGCTGCCTGGGAGACCTGTGCGAAGGGAAAGAACAAAAAAAAAAAAAAAAACAATCCAGAGAGGAAACTAATTTGTTCGCAAGCATCTATTAGGCATTTCCTCTCAAAGAAACACTGTCAAGCGGAGCTGGGAAGCAGCCAAGTCAGTGCTTGAAGTCTGAAATGCTGAATAAATCAGCACGGGCATCCACAAAGCCCTGGTGAAGCACACACGAAAGGCCGTGCCCGTGCGGAGCCAGGGAAACACACAGGGCCGGGGTGCCTGTGCCATGGGGTTCATCCTCATGGTAAAAAAACAGGACCGTGGCCGCAGGATTTTCCATTCCCTGGGGCTGATGTTTGAACTCTTGTATCCTTGGACCATTTATTAAAATGACTTTTATGTCCAAACTGTTAGGCCACAGAGAGCAGAGTGAGTCAAGGACGGAAGAAGACGAGGATGAGGAGCTTTTGGTGCAAGCCGTCACCTTCCCCAGGCAGTGAGGCCGGGACCCCAAACCCACCCAGAGGTGCAAACCTGGCGGCCGTGCCAGAGCAGGACAGACCCCGGGCAGCTCTGCACACCCGTCCGTGTGTGTGTGCCCCTGCTCACACCTCTAGTGCAAGGCTTTCTGCCACGTTTCGTCCCAGGGCAGCAGCAGCCTCCCGCGTGCAAGGCGTGTGGGGGCACTTCTTTCCTACACGGTTTCCTCTTTCTGAAAATACTGTTCCTGTCTGCTTCTTTTGCTGTCAGGGTAAACAAAATCGCCGCTGGAACTGCATGGGGTGTATTTTTAAAAGCCCCTTTCATATCCAGCTTCCTTCTGGGCGCGCATTGTGTTATTCAGGGCAGCCAAAACAATGTTTGCTCCTACCGCAGGGGCTGCCGACGCTGACCCGTGCGGAGGGGACCAGCTGGGTGTTTGCCTCCCTGCTTTTACGCCACGCACCCAGCAACCCAGACGATGCATTTCAGAGCCCTCAGGAGACGCAGGCAGGTCCGCAGGGCAGAGCAGAGAGATGCTGTGGGAAAGAGGAGCCTCACCGAGGCCAGGCTGCCCTGCAGCACAAGCCCAGGATAAATCCCTGGCCTGGAGGAGCCCGGCTCCTGGATATCTGGTGCCTACACAGAGCGATCCCAGGTGGAGTAACCCAAGGAGGCTGGGGGGGCATGGTGTGCCCCTGAGGTCTGGCAGGGACAGGGTGGGTTGGGGTGGGAAACAGAATAAAATAGAATAAAATAGAATGGAATAAAATAGAATGAAATAAAATAGAATAAAATAAAATAGAATAAAATGAAATGAAATAAAAAAATAAAATAAAATAAAATAAAATAAAATAAAATAAAATAAAATAAAATAAAATAAAATAAAATAAAATAAAATAAAATAAAATAAAATAAAATAAAATAGAGACACCCAACAGCCCCCGGGGGGGTGCCGGGGCTGCCTGCCTTTGTCTGGCAGCCTGCGGGCTCGGCCGGGCACGGCTCCCCATCTCGCCGCCCGGACCCGCCTGTCGCGACATGTCGCAGCATCACGGGCCGGAGGGGAAGAGGAGGAGGCTGTCCGCGAAGCCAGGCGGAGAATTAACGAGGAGCTGCTCCGGAGGCACCCCAAAAAAAAAAAAAAAAAACAAACACCCCCCCCGGAGCCCTCCCTGCCGGGCTCACCTTGATCCTCTCCACCGCAGCCTCCAGCTTCAGCTGCTCCACCAGGCGCTGCATGCTGCTCAGGCTGCCGGCCGACGACATGTCGCGACAGGGTGAGGGCGGCTGGGATCGGCTGGGATCGGCTGGGATCAGCCCGGCCGGGCCCTGCCGGAGCCGCCCCGAGGAGGGGCCGCGGCCGGGGCCGCTCCGCCCCCCCGGCTGGAGAGCCCCAGCTGGTGGCCGCCAAAAGCCGGCTCGATTTATTTCGTTTTTCCCTTATTTTATGTTATCTATTTATTTATTTTTTTAGGTGCTGTAGCCCGGTGGAGACGAGAACATTGGCTCTGGTCCCTCCTGCACCTGCTGCCAGACCAGTGGGACACAAAGAGGAGACGCAGCCCCCCCACGGGCTGCCCCATTTCTTGCTTCAGCATCAGGTCAGGAAACTGATCTCGATCAAAAGTAACCTAAAAAAAAAAAAAAAAACAAAAAAAAAACCGGGAAGACAGATGAGCGGTTTGGGTCTTGCCTGCTTGTTTGTGCAACCCCGCTTATCACACGGGCTCAGGAGGGGAAGGATGGTACAAAGCGAGGCGCTGGTGCAAGCTTTCAGCTGTTGGCCTGTGAAACAGTGGCCACAGACACAGATGCTCTTGCATGCACTTCTCTGCTTCCTTTCTAGATATTACTGACCTGCCTGATTTCCAGATATAACAACCCTACTTAGTACTACAAGGTCACAGAACCACTGGATGGTTTGGTTGGAAGAGACCTTGAGGATCACCCCGTCCCAACCCCCTGCCATGGGCAGGGACACCTCCCACCGGACCAGGTCCATAAGATTACTTCATGAAAATAAACACAACTTATTCTAGATGTGTTCTTTAACAAGTTTGAGAACTGATTTGACCTTTAAATACAAAGCGAATTAAGTTTATAGCAGCACTACTAGGGCAGAGTGGTTGGAAAGCTGTGCAGAGGAAAGGCTCTGGGGGTGCTGGTTGATGCTCACCTGAACAGCAGCCAGCAGTGTGCCCAGGTGGCCAAGAAGGCCAGCGGCATCCTGGTTGTGTCAGGAGCAGTGCAGCCAGCAGGAGCGGGGAGGGGATCGTCCCCCAGTGCTCTGCTCTGGTGAGGCCACACCTCGAGTGCTGTGCTCAGCTTTGGAATCAGACTCAAGCTGCACCAGGGGATGTTTAGATCGGACATTAAGACAGAAATTCTACAAGCATTGAAATGGGCTGCTCAGAGAAGTGGTTGTGTGACCATCCCTGGAGGTATTTAAAAGACATGCAGCACTAAGGGACATGGCTTAGTGATGGGACTCAGCAGGTCAGGCTGATGGTTGGACTTGGAGAAGGTCTTTTCCAACACAGACAATTCTATGATAGGTCACTTATGCAGTACCATAAACGTCTTACTTCAAAAATTAACATAAGCATTTCAAAACTCCCAGCTGTTACACGCTTTGAAAGAAGCAGCGGGTTTAAGAGACTCTCTCCCAGAACCAATCTGCACAGATGCAGATTTTTACAGATGTGAGAGAGACAGACACACCCCAATCTAGATACATACCCCCGATAAAATTCCTAAACAGAAAGATGGAAATCGTAAATCGTGGAAACTCTGACCTGGTCAGAATTACAGACAAAAGTTAGAGGGTAGTGTTGTATTGTAAGTACTCTGAGGTCTGATCAGAGAAATCAGAAGAGATAAACATAAGAAAATACTTTAGATTTAGAATTGCAAACAAATTCAGGACGTATATTATAGAAAACTTTATTTATATAAGGCATCAAGATTGCCCTTTTAAACAAAAGGGTCGTTTTCCCTTTACCAATACTTTGGTGAAAGAAGTATCACATTTAGTAGACTAATATTCACTGGTACGCTTGTTCTGAACAGCTAGGTACAGTCCAACGTACAAGATTAAAAACCAAACATAAGAGACTTAAGTATGCTATTTCATGAACCACTCTCTAGAACAAAGAATTAAGGCTTGTTTGCACCAAAATGGTGATCATGCATCATTTATTCCCACAAAGAATAAAATTCATTTCCAATTGGAGCGGGAATAGCAAAAGTAGTAGTCCGGTATAATCCCCATATTGTCTACATCAAAAAACATTTTGGCATTTCAGAAATTAAGTAAGTTGAAAAGTAGTCGGAAGGAGAGAAGGGGAAAGCAGGAAATGGCCCTTGCTGCAGAGTCCTTTGTACGCATTTCCAAATTTCCAGTGTCCGCTTGCAGGAACCCATCAGTTTAAAAAGGAAAACAGAGACTTTCAAGGACAGATCTAGAAACGGTTTTCAGAAAGATTAAAGGTATGGTTCCATCGATCATGAGTAGGAAATACTTCGAGAAAATACATTATTTAAAATAATGAATTCCACATTAAGATCCCCATGTATGTCAGATATATACACTGAGCTAAGCCTGTTTAATAAGTCTGACTTAAAAAAATGGTAAACCTGTATTATTTTTCAGCCTGACTTAATAATTCCTGAGTTTTAGATCACTGCTGAGCCACAGCAGATAAAACTCTGAATGATGTAGTGAAAAGTTTTGCGGATGACCGTTGACACTAGCACTTATTTTGTTCAGCAACTTTCAATCATCGATAAAAGTCAGTCTTCCAGGTCCTTCATTTCTCATCCACCTCCGATACCTCTTCCATCGGGGATCCAAGGCCATCTTCTTCTTTAACTCCTCCTCTTGTTCTTGTTTATAGACCTGATGGACAAAAAGAAAAGTTTTTAATAAGGCTGAAGAAACAGATGAAGTGAATCCAAAGCAGGGGGTAAAGGGGGTGGTGGTGTGTGTTTGTATGTGTTAGCAATTAAATCACCTGTCATGTTACTGATTGTAAAGGTACCCAAATTGCAATGTAGCAGAAGACCTTGACTAACACACAGAGTAAGAGCCTTCAGCCAAGGAGCCTTCGAGCTGTAGTTGAAATGCTCTGAATTTTTGCTGACAGCAGAACTACATCATTGAAAGATGGTGTGCTGCAAGGAACTATACTTCTTTGCTCGTGCAGTCAACAGAATAAAAGTAAAGATCTACTCAAAAATCTAAGTTTTGAGTCCCTGTTCAGCACACATACCATTCAACGCAGTTTAGCTTCTTACTTCTGTTGTTTTCGTATTTGGAAGTTATTCTATAGACAGAGGACTGATCACCTTCAGCTACACAGCAGTGGATCTTTTTATTCCTCGTTTAATTTTCAACTAGGTCAATATACCTACAGTAAGTAGAGGTAGTGCCAAATGGCAAGTAATTACAACATGGCAAGAAATGGTATCATCACTGATTTCAATAAAAGTCGCGTATCTAAGAAAAGCAACAGTATCAACACTTTTATTCTGGAAGGCTCTTCATGTAGATAGACAGTGTATATCTCAACACCATACAGGTTTATGTCATCTGAATTCTTCCTGTAAGGAAATTAGATTTAAGGTTCCGAACAAGCATCCGAAAGATTTAAAAAAATATTCTAGATGGGTTTATAGATACACCCCCGCTCAAGGTTCAGTGATCATACAAGCTTCAAAAATTACTAGGAAAGTAACAGAGGAAATAAAACATTTTTATTTAGCTCCATGCTGTGCCAATATATTGAATCCTCAGTCATTCTTAGAAGGACACTGGAAAAACTACACAATATGCAGATAGACAACCTCGGCGACCAAAGTAGTAGATACTTTAGTGTTTCTTTTTGTGAAAAACAGGAAAGCATTTTTTTCAGCTTAGAAAAGGCACGACTAAGTTTCAAGTAAGGATATAGTAGTGGTACAGAGGAGCACAGATACCACGAGAAAAGGGAACAAGGCACAACTAATCTCCATTTCCGATAAAATAACCATCAGTAGGTGTCTGCGTGACTTAAAAAAAAAAAAAACCAGGAGCCATCCTCTGCACTTCCTGCTGAACTCACAACCAGATGGTTCTGTAGTCATTGACGGTATTAATACATTCAAGAAGTGGCTAGACGTGTTTATTAAAAAAAATAATTAAAGTTACTACCAACAAAGACACCATTTCCTGTTCAGGATGCTCCCAGACTGCGTATTGCACTGAATAAATATTGCTATGTCAGCGTAGCTTTCTTGTATTCTTCACCAATTATCAGCTGCTGGCCACCACAGATGACTTTGGGCTAAGCAGACTTCACCCCTGACAAATACAGCTTTTTTTTTTTCTTTTTTATGTTCAACAAATAGAACAATACCAGTTAGAAACAGCATGCATGATTTTTCTGCCATGGAATATCCATCCTGTTGTGCATTTTACTTATGCCATCTGCTGTGACTACTAACATTACCACCTCTTTGGACTTCCAGATTGTTTTCAAGCAAACACACCTTAATTCAACGTGTATGGCTAACCTGTCGGCTAATCCTTTCCTTACTAAAATTGAAGTTAATGTACTTTCCCCTTCAAGTTTCTAAATTGATCCAATTCTGACTGTTTTTAGGGAAGTATTCTCTTATCTTTGACGTGCACCACCAGCAGCAAAGGCAGTTCTGCCGTCTTTTCCCAGAACAAGCAGAGCTGCAGCATCACCCCGTTTTAAGCAGGCCCAGTTCCTCTTCTCCATTCCTCTCCTGGAAACCTCCCACCCAGATGGCCCACAGATGATCTTTGATACCATACCAGCATTTTGTCAGTTCTCCCACCTCCTGGCATCCCAAGACGTCAGTACTGCATCCTGTGGCTCATGTTCTTTCCCTACTCTCACAGGAAATTTGAGAAAAATTACACACTGGCTGTTTAGTAACTGGCTACCCCTGGCAAGAGTAGCAGTTGTGCCAGTATTTAATAGCCCATTTTCAGTCGAGCAGCACACACAGTAAAAAGAACAGCCCCAGACTCGCTGAAGGCAAAAGAACCATCAAGGGACAGTTATCAGCTGTCAGCTTCTATCAGCTACAACAAGCCATGAATTAATGGCTAAGGAGACTAATAAAATAGGAGTTTCGGGTCGTCCAAGTAATCCTTATTACAAAATTATCATTGTTTGGAGAACGCATGGTCTTCAACCTACTGTAAGAACTCTGTTACACTACGTTTTCACAGGACAGCCTGTCATCAGATACGATTAGTTTTTGTATCCACAGATTCCCTAACAATCACAGGTAGATGACCCCTGACCAAGAAATCCCTTTTTACATGCATGGCCCTG